CATATCCTTTGCTTCAAAACAGTGTAAAGTTTTTGATCGCATGAATGACTGTAGAGATGACAATTAAAATTTTATTCACGTTAGTTAAATTATCAGCCCCGCTGATTTTCAGAATCACGTGACGCTAAAACAAACACAATGTTCACAAAATATTAATAATAGGAAAATACAAGTCAAGAGCTTTCCAAACATATATAGATTGTATGGTTTCTTGTAAAATTTATTCCGATTATAGGTGTTTACATTTTTCATGCAAAAAAACTATCCTGCTACCTTAATAACCATGATATAACACATGACTGTGAGAGTCACCAAAAGTAACACATATTTGGAAGAGAATGACTGAGCTAAATGTAGCTATTATTTCTTTACCCGTTTCGTGAAAAACTAGAGAACTAACATGTTACCGCATAGGTATGCAATTCTACTGATTTAAGGTACAGTTATTTTCAATGTGGATTTCTTTTTTATTTTGAATGAAGACCAAGGGGAACAAAATTAAAAAGGTTGACAATGCACAATATAAATAAGAGTACATACATTGATGTTTGAAATCATTTTAATTTTTTTTTTGCTAATTGCATAAAACAGTAAATAGCAGCTGCATACTCATCATGCAAATAATTTACAACACTTTTAGCAACAGAATCAACATAAATATACTTTTTAGTCATCCCCCGACAGTAACTCATTCTGTCACTTGTTGCAAAACCTATGTAAAAAAGCTGCAACTATCTAAACATCATGAGATAGACAAAATACATGTTGACTTACCAGCTGACTGGGTTGTTTTGGGAAGACACTGTCATTACTGGCACCGGCTATGGCAAGGGGGGCAACCACTGCTGGAGTGACGGCAGCGGTTGCAGCTACTGCTGGTGCTGCAGCAAGTGCAACAGCTACATCTGCTGCAGTGGATGTAGTCACTACAGCTGCTGCAGTTGTAATTGCTGTGGCGGTGATGGCAGCAGGGACAATAGTGGTGGAATTGACTGGTGTTGTTTCTGTAAATGTTTTTGCAGAGCTGGCAGTAGTTGGTTTGTGTTCAAAATCTTTTTTCACTAACACCCAATCACCATATGGATTCGGTTCAGCTTCTTTCTTGCGATGCTGAGTGCCACTTGAGACAGGAAACTGCTTTAGCAATGTGTCCTTGTCTTGTACTGGCTTTTGAATAGCATTCTGTAAATATGAAATATAAATTCAACAATCAATAACAAGTTTTGCCTCCTTTGGTTGCTACATTGCTAGACGTTAGCCCACAACAGAAAGAGGAGGGGGCAATTTGATACCGGTCATTCATGATCCAGTTTGGCTCAGTGAATGCACAGATACCAACAAGTTAAATAACCAGACTGTATATTAAAATATATATTCTCAAATTCCAAATAAACGTACCCCCGACAAAACTTCAAAATCTAATAAACACCCCCCAGATTGTTCCCATGCTTCTAAAATATGCTTTTACTGGTGTATATATTCAAACTTTTCCTGTCCCTTGTAATTAGGAATATAAATGTGAACAGTTTTTGGGGTTGACTGTAATTTTTGTGACGCTTATTTCAGAACCAAATTAAGGTAGCGGGACTATTATTTGCATACTTGTTTTCATCCTCTAATTGTGAGTAAATGACTACAAATAGACCCAGGAAAGTATATATTTTTAGAATCGCCAGACTTCAAGCTTTTCACAAGTGTATTTTGCATGCCCGTATCTGCATTCTACGACGCGTTACTCAACCAAAGGTGAAAAATTACTTTTTCTGTAAAAAAAATAATTACGCATTTATGCTGGCGATAAGAAGTATTGTTT